CCATGCACAGAAAAATATAAATATACCCAGCTTTGCTGTGGATTTAAAGGGAACTCTTTATTTATTTTTTTTAAACAAAACAAAACATAAAATAGAATGTCAGAGGCAAGGAGGGAACCTGCAGAAATGGGCGACCGTTGCTTTAGTAATAACAGACAACCCTTTTTATTGTGGTCTCCGCTATCTTTTCAAAATTATCATTTCCTATTCGTAGCACTTGGCCCATCATATGGAAAACCAATTTGAAGGTCCGTGGGGGTGGGGGGTGGGGTTACAGGAGAAAATTGACTTGCCAACAAAGTCTATGGCTTGCCAAAAAGAACCCACAAAATGTTGGATCTCAGAAATGATTATTTATTGTGACAAGTTCCCAGCCATTATTGTTACAGGGATCTCCTCAATTTCAATTCCATCCAAAGGCCTGGATTGAAAACACAATCAGCGCGTTCAATCACCAGCTGCGAAGCTGGCCGGTGGTTTAAATATAAAAGCCGAGGGATGACAGTTATGGTCAATCTGGAGGAAAAAGAAGAATTGCCTAATTGAAGCAAGGTGAAATCTCGGGCCAAAATCAGTCTTGACAGCAGCACAAAAAAAGTTAAATCCTCTCAGAGACCACATCTTTGAAAATCCCTGAGTGCTTCGGGAGCACAGAAGGAAAAGAAGGTAGGTAAAGGTAGAAGAAGGATCTATCTATCTGAAATGGTCTAGGCCAGGGTTAGGCAACCTTGGCTCTTTTATGACTGGTGGACTTCAACTCCCAGAATTCCTGAGCCAGCCATGCTGAGGGGAAAGGGAGAGGTTTCCAAGCTGAGCCATGCTGGCCGAGGAATTCTGGGAGATGAAGTCCACGAGTCATAAAAGAGCCAAGGTGGCCTACCCCTGGTCTAGGGATCTCCTGCTTGAGCAGGGGGTTGGACTAGAAGACTTCCAAGGTCCCTTCCAGTTCCATTCTAGTCTAAGACTGCATCCAGTTTTGGTTGCCACAATGTAAAAAAGATGTTGAGACTCTAGAAAGGGTGCAGAGAAGAGCAACAAAGATGATTGGGGGACTGGAGGCCAAAACATACAAGGAACGGTTGCTGGAATTGGGGATGTCTAGTTTAACGAAGAGAAGGACGAGGGGGACATGATAACCATCTTCCAGTATCTCAGGGGCTGCCCCAAAGAAGAGGGAGTCAAGCTATTCTCCAAGGCACCTGAAGGCAGGACAAGAAGCAACGGATGGAAACTCATCAAGGAGAGAAGCAACCTGGAACTAAGGAGAAACTTCCTGACCGTGAGAACAATTAACCAGTGGAACAACCTGCCTCCAGAAGCTGTGAATGCTCCAACACTGGAAGTTTTTAAAAAGAGACTGGACAGCCATTTGTCTGAAATGGTATAGGGTTTCCTGCCTGAGCAAGGGGTTGGACTAGAAGACCTCCAAGGTCCCTTCCAACTTTATTCTGTTATTCTAGAGTAGCCCAGTTGCCTCCTCTAATTCATGCTTTGTTCCTTGCCTGCTACTTCAATTTCATCTGAGCTAGAAGCGACCTGCATTAATGAACAAATTTTCAGCACATGGTAGTCGGCATTACAGGGGGTTATACTTCCTGCATTAGCGGCTTTAGTAATAGAAATAACAGAGCAAGGGTGCAATTAGTTATTATATTATTTAGCTTGATGCAATCCTCTGATTAGACTTCGCATATTTTGTATTTCAGTGCTTTGTACGCGCTGCTGTTTTGTTTTTATTATTATTATTATTATTATTATTATTATTATTATTATTATTATTATTATTATTATTATTATTAT